GGTGGGTTGACATCTATAGGAAGATCTATGTGTGCTGCTTCGATGTCCGGTGGATTCATTGGAGCCGGCCTATTCAGGAGTTCCTCGAAGTATTCTACCCATCTGTTACGCTGTTGTTGAATTTCGGTGATTGGCTTGCCTTCTTTGTCTTTGACCGGCCTCTCTGGTTTACTGTATTTCCCTGCTAGTTTCTTCGTTGTATCGTGAAGCTGTTTCATATTTCCTTCTCTAGCAGCTTTTTCTGCCGTCGTTGCTAGTTCTTCCACGTATTTCTTCTTGTCGGCTCTAATGCTCCTCTTCACTTGTTTGTTTGCTTCTATGTATTCAGCTTGTGCTTGGACTTTCTCTGCTCGTGTTCGGCTGTTGTTAATTGCTGCCTTCTTGTTCTTCCTTTCTTTGATCTTGTCCAGTGTTTCTATAGAGATCCATTCCTTATGATGGTGTTTCTTTAGGCCCAGAACCTCTTGACACGTTGAAGTTAATGCTTCCTTGATGCCTTTCCAGTTGTCCTCCATAGTAGTTTCTTCTTCTTCAGTAGATCTTGTAAGGCTTGGAACCTGTTGTTGAGAGCTATCTTGAATTCATTTTGTCAGTATCTCGAAGGAAGGCTGTATTGAACCTTTGTAGTGCTGTTTGTCCACTTGTCCAGTTCTTTTTAGCTTCAGTTTTAAATTGGCTACAACTAGGTGGTGATCTGAAGCTACGTCAGCACCTCTCCTGGTTCTCACATCTTCCATTGTCCTTCGGAATTTTTTGTTGATGCAAATATGATCGATTTGGTTCTCTGTAGTGTGGTCCGGTGAGATCCATGTAGCCTTGTGTATACGCTTGTGTGGAAATATTGTGCCTCCTATGACCAATTTGTTGAATGCACACAAATTTGCAAATCTTTCTCCATTTTCGTTTCTTTCTCCCAGTCCATGTCGTCCCATAATATCTTCATATCCAGTGTTGTCTATTCCGACTTTGGCATTTAGATCTCCCATCAGAATAGTTAGGTCCTTTCTTGGCATTTCTCAATGATTGACTGCAGCCGCTCGTAGAACTGATCTTTAATGTCGTCGTTGCTATCATTGGTGGGTGCATAACATTGGATAATATTCATTAAGATCCCCTCCTTCTTTGTTTTGAATGATGCTTTGATGATTCTGGATCCGTGAGACTCCCATCCTACAAGTGCATTTCGTGCTACTTTGGACAGCATAAGAGCGACTCCCTGAGTGTGTGGAGCATTGTCCTCCTCGTGACCGGAGTATAGCAGCATCTCTCCCGTAGCTAGCCTTTTCTGTCCAGCTTGGGTCCAGTGGGTTTCGCTGATTCCCAGTACTGCTAAGTTGTATCTCCTCATTTCCATTGCTATTTGACTGGTCTTCCCGGTTTCCCACATTGTTCGAACGTTCCATGTACCTATAAAAATTTTTGCTCTGGTTGTTAGAAGGGGCATCGGCCTCGTGGCTTCCGAAGGAACTCGGCTTTCACCATGAAGCGTCATAATTCTTCTAACTGAAGACCTTCTAACTCCCAGGGCAGAGTTTAAATGGTTTGGATTATTTTTTCTGGTAAGCGTTTTTTTAGCGAGTTAGTTTTCTACGGGATGGGGACGCTAACCCCATGCCCAACCCTCCTCCTTTACCCGGGCTTGGGACCGGCAGTAACCCTATTAGAGCTACAGGCGGAGTTTTTTTTCCATTATTACTTCTCGAATTATAACTGATTCTCTTTGTGCATTTCGGTTTGTTTTAGTATTCACTTCTGTGTCAACAGGCACCATAGTGTTCAAAACAGAGATTACTTTGCAACTAAGATATTGTTATATTTTTAAGCTAGGTTGAAAATCACACAAACTGTATCATCAGCATCCAACAAGCTCATGTCTTCTAAAGACATCGCGTTACCACTAGAGGGTTTTGTTGTTAATTGAGACATCATCAGCACTATACTTAAATAAAGCAATTTTGGGGGAACATAGTTCACATATCCATAGTGACTTTGAATTGTTTTACCTATTTTAAGCAGTAGAGCCAAATCAGTTCATATTCTGCCCTACTTTTTGTTGTAGCCATCACACTGCGTGCTCCAGCAACTGGAAACGCGTTTACAAAGAGTACGCAAAACAACTTATGATTCTAAAAGTGCAATAAGGACAGATGAATAAAAAAATGAAAAGTAACACCCTTCTCTTAGAAAATTTCACGTCAGAACTTTAAGGTTTTTGTTATGACCAAACTTAGGCATAAAACTCTGCTGGGTATAAACTTGCATCGCAGAAAAAAGAGTTTTGCCTGTGCATGATAGTTAGATGTAATCAAATTGGTATATGAACTAAGGATTCCTAGAATATACCATTTTAATTCAGACAGAGAACGACGAACACAATTAAACCTATTGTATTGAGAATTCATAACAAGTACGGAGTTATGTATGAATGAATCGATATTGCATACAAACATTACATTATGGTGTTCGGAAGTGGTCATCTTGTAAGAGAATACTCAGCAAATTAGCTACTGTATTCAAGCAGATAAGCCAACTTTAATGGTAAGAGCCGTAAACTCATAGCTGTTTGCTAGCATTAAGCTGTCGCTGTGGAGTTATGGTTGATTTATAATGACTTGTGACTAAAATATTTAGACTATTGGAAACACTAGACGTAGTTTATGGCCTTGACTAATAGCGCCACCTACATAAGTCGTTACTTGAAGGTCGTATATTCTTGTGTTCAATAAGTCCTGATGTATGGCAGTAATATTTAAAGATAAATTGTTATGACTTTTCTTTTAAAATAAGACATTTAATCATGTTCGAGGCCAACACTGACAACTGAGGGTAAGTCAACCTACCGATATGGCGCTAATAATAATTACTTCATTGCAATCGGTTGTTTATTGTGTTGGAATTACAACACGATTTATTATGAAAGCGAAGACATTAATTTTACCTCTTTTTATTCGTCTGTGATTCTGGAATACTAGCACCATTATATAAGTTGGGATATTTCTATAGAGCGTTTAGTTGTAAACACAATAATAATGTAAAAAGAAGTAAGGAGGAAAACAAAGATCAATAGGGAATAAGTTTTGGTAAAAAAAATTCAGGAGTCAGACTACCAACGCCTAGAACTACTTCGGTCAGCTATAGAAACCACTATTTTCGAAAACGTCGTCTCATATTGATGCTACTAAACTCAATTGGCATACCCACTGCGGTATTTACATCCTACTACTGTACAGGACATGGACTCAGTGTAATCTATTTCTACCTAACATGTATATATCTCATGTCTATTGTATGCATGATATTCAGTCATCTCGTATATCACGTTTTCCAAAACACGCATCACGTAAAGTGAATTATTGAAAATATAATCTGATAAAGCTGTTAAGGAATCAAATATGATCCCATCTCTATCCCCTAAATCTTTATATAATATATTTCATCAATAAAAGGATGAACACTTGTCTAGCATCACGCTAAGTTTATGTTTTCAAGGTTTGACTTTATTCGTATGTCAAAATACATTCGTCCATATCACGATGTTTATTATTCTTATATCTACTGTTATAGCTTGCGATTCGTACATCTTGCTCGTGATTATCAGTTATGTAATAGTTTTTCATTTTTATCATTATCTCACAAATTTCCTCAGTTGGTTTAATGTCTTTTGTATATACATACACACTGAGGTAAAACCTGGGAATCTAATTGAAAAAAATAATCGTTGCTCACTTGTTATTTTTTAAAGACACTCTGCAGAGCATTACTGCTTTAAACTGGTGGTAGCTTTTGTTCAAATTTCGCGCACATGAGGCTTAACTGATTTCTTGATGTTTTCCTGTAGAAAAAGACGTTTAAATTGTCAGAACATTTTGTATATTGTATTTCGGATTAAAATATCAAGTGCTCCTCTTGTTTCTTCCAACTGTAGTATAACTTTTGTAGATTTTGTTTGCCATATTATAACCAAGATACTAGTTTTGGCAGTGAACAATTCATCTAATCTCTGTAGTCTAAAAGTGTTAAGAATTCAGTTTTGTAGCTTCATCTGTTTTATTGATTCTTAAATTGTGTTATAAGTAACTTATTTGGAGTGACTCAAATGAGCCTATTAATAGATTAGAATGTAGTTTAAATGATCTGATAATTGTCATAAAATGATCGTATGAAGCTTTGACGAAGAACATTACGAATGCAGTTGTCTAACTCAAATTGAATATAATTCATTTAGTGAAAGTAAGTGCGAATCAGCATAATATATTGAAACAAGTTCTAAGAATTTTATATAAAATTTTATGTCTACATAAAGTAATTTTAAATTTTTCCCATTTATGGCCTTCAATAACTCATCTTTTAGATTATCTTGCAAACCATATATGACTTCCGAGAAAGGTCATTTTATCTCAAATCCGAATAAACTACCGAAATGAAGTTTCGTCAATAAAAGAATCCGATTAAGGCTCAAAAGGAGTTACTAATTTTGTATAATTTCTGATGACTTATGTATACAATAAAGTGGATTTATGTTTTACGTCGTAGATTGATCTTAGTTATATAGTCACTAAAAAGCAGGAAGCACTGGACAACTATTTTGTAGTAGCATGGGGCTCTCCAGCAATACACATTAAACATCCCATCAAGGATTGAATCCAGGACTTCCAGATCTTGTGGTCCGTGCTTAAACTGAAAACCGCTGAACAGACAACTAGTGATTGACATGTCTAAATTTAGTCCATTTGCAATACTACTGCTACTTTTCAATGTCATTGGTAGGTAAACTTCTTAACATCAGACATTTTTAAACTCCGCTGGTTATAGCTTTTCACTGAAATTCCTGGATTTATCTCTAAATAATTTAACAGAACTTAGTTTCCTTTTCCTACACATACATATTTCACTAGTTATTGAAGATATAAATTTGTTTTATTATTTACTTCATATTAATTATATAAATCCATTATAAATTGTTTCTTTTCTTATCTAATTTTTCACAATTACATCTATAGATGTTTAAACGATTAATTCGTTGTCATGTGAAATCATCTCGTACACCACCCAGTAAAGATGGTACAAATAATAATAAAATTCACTTACCAACCAAGTGTACTGCGTGGTTATTTTCAACCATCTCTTCTTCATCTAAGATCTCAACTACCAGTGATGTTGAAGCAAGTAAAAGTACAGAAACTTGTTTAGTAGATAACTCTTTTAAAACAAACAATTGTAATGAAACATGCAATTTAATTAATACTCAACATCCTAATGATAGTCAAAGAATCTCTTGCAATCCTTACTGCCCTGATCCAGAAATTATAAAACTACCTTTTGTACATTTTACTAAAGTTAGAAATCAATTTCTGGCTATTCGGTAAGTTATTTCTACATGTTCATATAGGTTTCCTTTTATGTGATTTTGTGTTTAAGTTGATTTTATGGTAAAATGTATTTTCTTTTTTTTAAAAAGAAAATTATCTCTGTAATATGTACTTATGATCGATGTGTTTCAAAACATCCATCAGTAATTTAATAGTCTGATCTCTTAACTGTTAACCATTCAATCATCTGATAAACTTTAAAAACTCGAATATCCTTTCTATCTGTTATGTAATGTAAGAGAATTATAATAATTTATAATAATTCTAATTATTCCACCTACAGTTTACTACTAGAATACGGCTTACTTTTAATATATCCATAAACTAATTATGAGACTCAAACCTTCGATGATATGTTTAATAATTATCCGTTAAGTGATGATTCTTAGTAGATATAATACAGTTGCCTAAATCACACACCTCTTGTGTAACATATAGTTTAACGTTACATGCTTTGTTACATTTTTGTTTTTTAGTCGAAAATTTAAAAAGTTACTTTAGGGAACGATTACCTGTACTTCGCAGATGGCTCTCACACATTAAGTTTTTCTCAAATTTGAGTACATGAATCTGTACTTGGTATATGAGTATACCATCGAACTACACAGAATATATAATAAAGTGACTGGAAAAGATTACTTAAGTCGGTGAGTATAAATTATCTGATGGTTGTGAAATATCACGAGTTAAATGAAGTTAAATTTGTACACCATTGTATTGTAGCGCATTGGGTGGAAGGTTAATTGTTCCTAACTGAAAACTGCAGGTCCTAGGCTAGATCCTCGGCTGGGGAGTCGTTGATATTTACTGTAGAGCGATCTCATACTGGAACGAAAAAATGTTCCAGTTCCTCAAGGTTTTAAACTTCTGTCTAACTTAGATCGGTTCGTAATCTCCATTTTCTCGATTATTATTCGACAGTCGATCACAAAAGGTTCATAAATGCAAACCAATGTTGTTTTCCTTCTATCGGAAGAATCTTACCTTGGTGCGGTGTGGGATGATTGGTGAATAGGACTATGGTTTTTCATACTAAAACAAAAATGTTGTTTAGTAGTGCTCTTTGGATTCCATTGATTCATGCGGTCATAGTAACCGATAATTAATATAGATATTTCACTTTTACAATTGTTACGTAATAAAATCAATTTTTGTCTTTCATCTTTTTGAAACTATCATAACAGATCTCAATCAATATCTTCATCTATAAAAGAACAGTTAAAATCTCATTCATTTAACAATTGGTTATATTCAGACGCTGAATTAATTAATTTTGTTAAATTTATGTTTGTGGATTTAAATCTACCGGAATTATGTCATTTCTCTACTGATACACTTGAAAATTGGTTGTTTTCAACTTATTCACGATATAACAATGTACCATTTCATAATTTTAAACATGCATTTATGGTAACTCAAATGGTGAGCATTGTAAATCTATCAAATTATATTATTATTATAATTATGTCCAATTTAAAGTTTACAAATAGCTTAGTTTCAATAGGTTTTGAGAGATTATGTCAGTGGAGTATTGTATTACGAATGAGTATACCTATTTACATTAAAATATACACCTATCAACTGTTAGCGTTTGTATGTATGGTTTATTTCAGTCTGGAAACGAACGATTCCGAAGTAATTTACGTATATATGGTTGTAGTGGACTTCGGTTTACCTCTTTATTCAAACCCGATATTATCTTCGTTTGAACCGAACAAGTATCTGAAGTGAATTGTGATTTCATAACTTTCTGTTGCTATAATTGACTGTAAACACTAAAGAAAACCTGTAAATCGGAACAACACATTCAATTTTACACACCCGATAGGCGTAAAATCATTTAGTTTGGCCTTTAATGTCCAATATTTTATGCTGTTCGATTGATTTTGTTAAGTTGGGACCTGAAAATACTGGTGTTATATGTTGTGTAATTTAATGAGCTCACGTGGACATGATCAAGACTTTTTCGTGTGGAGTAGTCAAGTCCAACACGTGAATGAGCCAAACTTTGTTGACGCAGCTACAAGTCAGAATAGAACGTTTTATGAATCTTGCAATTAACCATTTTTATACGTACGTCATAGATGCATACTCATCACACAAATTACTCGAAGTTAATCTGGTGGTTATTATCTGGTAAAATAACGATTCAATCTCGAATAAAGTTAGAGGTATGTGAGGAGATATCATTTCTTGGTTGTACACACTGTGGAAGGGCACTTCTTTTAGAGCGGCCTATAAAACACTCGGTCAGTTCTGATGTTGGCAACTTGGTAGTGTTGTAGTGAACAGAGACTTGGTGGAAAAAACCAATTTATTCTTTGATACAAAGTTACTCAAAGGCTCAGTAAAATATAAAAGTCATACATTAAGTATATAAATTGCGCATCTTCTTTGTGTTGTCCTTTACATTTTCCATTATTCTTCTGGTTCTATTGTTATTTTGACTGCTCTTCGATTTTCTACTGTTCTCTTCACTCCAATCTTCTGCTGCTAGGCATTCCACTTCCGACTGATGCTACATATTACTTATATCTGCCAGCATATATAGCATACACCACAGTGTGACCCTAGAGTCCAAGAGACAACTGCTTATGGCCGGTCACTTACGGTCTTTTTATAAAAAGTCGTTGGTATGTTGACTCCATATATTTAAAACTTTACCATGAGCAACGAATATTTATGAAGGTGAGATGTGCTATCTTCATGGTCAACCTTTACTGACCCTCTCCTTCCATTGTGGGAAGGTAGCTTATCTGGAGGTGCCGGCTACGTGAGGATGATACCTTACTCCTATCATACCTCTTTACAGTCAACAATATGATTTCGCCATCGAACCATGAGTTTACCACCCTTACTTTTAGCGTTCTCCAACTGACCTGTCTGTATTGTAGGGCCTAGAAAAACGAATGTCTCAGACAATATAGCTCTATTGCAACCTCAAGTGGTGTCCGTCAAGGCTGTCCACTTTCTCCATTTTTGTTCAACTTCATCATAGACCTACTGATGGGAATAATGTTCTCGTCGACTGAATTCTCGGGTATTGACCTCCTTCCAGGAGGTCCACTTATCGACTTAGAATACGCAGACGACATAGTCCTGTTTGGTGAAGATGCTGATAAAATGCAGGATCTTCTGGTAGCACTGTGCAACAATGCCAAGATGTTTGGGATGCGCTTCTTCCCCTCTAAATGCAAGTTGTTGCTTCAGGACTGGCCTGCGTCAACACATGGACTAAGGATAGGAAGTAAGGTAGTCGAACGCGTTGACAACTTCACTTATCTTGGAAGTCTGATCAGCCCTAATGGGTTGGTGTCTGACGAAAAGCTCGTTTGGCTTTTGCCAACTTACTTCACCTATGGCGCAGGCGAGATATCCGTCTATCAATTAAGGGACGAATATACTGCGCGGCAGTTCGTTCTGTTCTACTTTACGGCTGCGAAACGTGGCCATTAAGAGTAGAAGATACTCGTAAGCTACTAATATTTGGCCACAGATGTCTTAGAAATATTGCTGGCGTCTGCTGAGATCACCGGGTAAGTAATAGTGAGGTTAGACTCACGGTATTAGGGAACGATGGTAAATCAGTTGATGAGGTTATGAATCTTCATCGACTGAGATGGTTGGGCCAAGTGTTGCGTATACCACGACGTGCAATGCTAACCGGTGTTGGGGATGGTTGGAAGAAAGTTAGGGGCAGCCAAACCAAAACGTGGCATCACTGCTTGAAGTCACTAACTCCTAATCTAAGCCATGTTGGTAGATGCAGACTACTTGGTTGTGGTCCGCGCGGCTATCGTAACCAATGGTTGGAGACTCTTGGTGACATGGCTCAGAATCTATCACAATGGCATTGGTGTATGCACTCTTTGATTAAAATCGCTTCATATCTTTCTTTCTACAAACTAATTCTTTCTTCTTGTACTATATCGTTATATGCAATCTTTCCTTTATATATTACACCATTGATTTCATTGCTTCTACGAGTTAGCTGTTCATCTTGCTGTGCTAATGAGGTTTGGCAACTTGAACTGATGCACATATGTGCCTGGTCCTACGTTGTAACTGACTGACTCATAGTGAAAGGCATTCCTGACTATCACGTCAGGGTAGCAGCTACGGTCGATGACAGTTGAGTTGGCTTATTGTATATCACTGTATTTTAAGGTAATGGTACTGAACGATGCAGCCCCAAGGGAAAACATACTGTCAGTATTTTGGTAACACAAGATAAAATTAGATAGTGTAGATAAATTCTCATTAAGTCAGACCTTACATACCATACAGATGAAAATGTAGAAATATAAAAATTACTGGCTAACTGAATTCGTAATAATGAAGCACTTTCATAAAATGATACAAAACTACAATCTAGATAATTGCAAGCAATTTTTCACATCTTTGCCAAGCAATGAGACGTTCATTGAATCGTACAACAAGAGAGATGGTTCCATGAAACTGTCTATTCCCTTTTATTTCAGTACTTCCAATGTAGTTAAGATAACTAACCAGATATATCCTCAGTGATCATGTTTTACGATTGTATCTTATTAAAAAAGAGTAATATTGAATTTGTTTTATTACGTGTCACCTTGATGTCTTCGGAAATAGTGTCTTTTGATTAAAACTTACTAAATTCCATACACGTATTGTTTGCGATTCATTTGACATTGAAATAACTATCAATAGCTTGGTAATAAGTCAGTTCGCGTTATATGAATACATTCGCTATCTTATCTTGTTTACCTACTTCATAATTTATTATTCATTGATTTTGTCACTCAACCTGCCTTAATTATTCTCCATGATTTATTTTGTTATTTTTCATCCTAAACCAGTTGATATTCATGTAACTCATTAACCAAGTTTATAATAATATACCCAATTTTAAGCCATACTGTTTGTTTGTTGGCTAGTGATACTACTCAACCGCCTAAAGTGAGATTCAAAATTGTCATTTATTGGTTGAAAAAATGTACACTTTAGTCACTAAACCAAAGCTCTTAACTTTCTATCTGTTTAATTTCTATCTTGATATATTATTCCACACTGTACTAAGTTGAACTGCTTCTACACTGGTAAGAAAAGTATTGTCTTCCAATAGATGTTACTTAACTTCAATCTAATCAGTCAACGCTGGATAGTTACGTTTTATTAAACAGTTCAAAACTCATTCCTCTATATGATAAGTATATCATACTTTCATTATTCTTGTCATAAGATACACTTGAATCAATTGAAAAACTAACATTGAAGAACTTCACTGGTTTAGAAACCTACGAGAGTATGAGTCAACCCATGGTTATATATATATATATATATCCCTACGTGCCAGATATGCCTGTTTGTTTGTTCTTGAAATACTATCCTTTTAGTTATGGGAATAATAGTAATAATAAAGTTATTAGTTATAGAACAGCAGATGTTTGACGGAAATCCTATAAAGAATATTATAATAATACCGAAATATTTTTTTGGAACAAGATACATAGTATGTCATGGTTGGGTGTGTCATTTTGTGAGTTAAGTTAATCTATGATTCTTCAGCTGTCTAATTAGTTGAGTTTTAACTTGCTAAAATTCACCTGTTCGGTGGTTGAAGGTCACCATACGGAAGCTTTACCCTACCCAGGTTTCGTGCTAGTTGACACTGGTCAGGAAGACATACATTTAATCTTAAAGAGACTGGTGTCTACTCGAACGCGTGCCACCTAGTTTTATTATTTAAGATGTTGCCACTAAGATATTCAAGTCGTAACTAAAATATTTACAATTGATTGATCGCTGAATGGTGGTCAATCCCGGGAGGTTTCCTTCCTGTTACTTCAAACCATCTAACACTGAGGCGTAGTGAACGCGTTATTGAGTTACATAGACTGGTGACCATATTGTAACTTGTCCGACGGAATCCGGTCATCAATAAGGACTAGATAAATACAACATTCACCTATTCCGAAAATGATGCTAGTTTTTAGTCAGGAGGTACTGAATATCTATTTGATTCTAATGTAGGACTTTTCAGAAAAACAAATCCACTCCCCCTTAACGAGGAATTGAATATTCCGATCTTGTGTCGATCTTGTTGCTTTTAGACCATTAATTTAGCGTTTAGCGTAGCCTACTTTCCTAACTTTAACCGATTCGCGATATTATCACCATGAAATTTTATTAGTTTGTATATTTGCTTCACTTCTGTATTAATCTCGCAGTTAATTAGTCGCAACTCACTAAAACTTTAGGAAGTCATATCGAAATTAGTCGCTAGTGAATAAATCAAATGTTCCAAAACGAATTAAGTAAACCCTGTTTTTAGCATATATATATATATATATATATATATATATATATATATATATATATATATATAACATAGGACCCATTATACAATCATTCCATTTTCGATACTTGTCTTGGATCGCATC